ACAAAGACAGTTTCCATCCCAACACCAAGAAATACACAGTCCTCTCTCTTTAATGTGAAGACTTCAGTGTGTCACAATGCCTTGAAACTAAAAAGATACTTGTACGGAAAAAATTATAACTGGTAGTGGGTCCCATATAGCCAAATTGTGGCTCAAATCCAATCACTAAATTGCCATATGCTCTGTTCTAAGCAATCAGCCAGTTCCCTACCACGACTCTCCAGAAATAATTGTGCTTTGCAATTGCCCAGCTGGGCACTTAAAATGTTCCACAAAGGTCTGGTACCATCCATTTGGTGGAAAAGGACATCACATCATCATGGTCCTTGCACATTTATCCCCTTTTTATTTCTGAGACCAAATGTTGAATAAGAGTAACAAACACAGTCATGAAACTCTGAAAATGTGAACAACTGAGAAGTACCACTGTAGGTATTTATAGGAAGCACTAATGGAACTGAGAGAAAAGTCACACATCTCCAGGTTTGCCTCCTAATTTACTCATTTTAAGACAAATATCTATAATACATATAAAATGCACTCAAACTATTAAGCAACATTGACTTTTCAGCCTAAAATTGGGATCAGTATTCATCTTTGCCCACACAGAAGCCCTTAGAGATGCAGATGAGGAAACAGACATCCATTCTTTGACTGAATGTCTTCCTCTAGTGGGGATTTTAAAAATATTCCCTCCCAACCCCCAGCTTGAAGGTTCTCTTTTTATGAAGTGTATAAGCACGCCTAAAGCAGGACTTGACTAAGAGATGTGTAAGTATTAACCAATAATTATTCGTGTGTTGTATGTTAGACTGTAGTCAAAAGATGAGAACAGCCCTAAAACCAGGGACCAGAATCTGACTCTTCTGCTCCCGCCAGTGCCCGGAACACAGGTATGAAGACCCTGTTCCTCCTGGCCTTCTCCAGAACATACCCTAACCCACGGCCAGCTGCCAAGGGGCTCAGGATTCACAGCACGGGTGCAGAGTCCTTCCCTCTGTGCCTGGGGATCTTCAGATGTGGCAAAGTGGTGGGCTTCAGCCACCTCCCAGTGAATGCTTGAAGCCCAGGACAGAGGTGGCCACCAACAATATTGGATACTCACAACTCTTCTCATGGGTTTCTTACACGAGGGGGAGCCCAGCTTCAGTGCTTTGCCTTCCTCACCCAACTGCACTCATGATCCCTTATGGTCATGGATGGAGAGGGACAGCATCAAACCAGGCAATAAACAGCAGTTTGCATTGTACTCCGAAGTCTTTGGAGGAACCTCCATCTTCCATTGCTGCGTAAGGATCGGTAGGTATATGGGCCAGCTGAAAAGGACCTCTGCTGCAGATCAAGAGTCTCTATGGACTCTGATCACTTTCTTTTGAGTTTTTATTTTCTTTTAAACAAGTATCAGATTTTTCACACTTCAACTGAAATATGAAAAAAGGTATTTTATAAGCATTTAAAAGTAACAATATCCCAGTGAAAGGAAATATATTAAAAGCTTTCTCCTTTCTTCCAAACACAGAGAAAACACAACTGTCCTCACACACTATAATTTCCACAACACAGATGAACAATATTCTCTCTCTACCTAGTTGCTGAAAATGTGACTGATCAGTACAATAAGAACTCAGGAACATCTGCCTGGATTAATTAAATCCCTGTCTTTCATAAGGAGAATTTATTCTTACTTATTTCAAATTTCAAATTTCCCAATATCAAATCCCCTCAGTCACAGTATGAACTTTGTACCGTATTTCAAAATCACGCTCCTCTGAACTTCACAGAAATAGTTCAGCTCATGTACTGTATTTACATATCGCTGTATAGGATCAGTCCATCGCATATAGACCTAACATATTTGCCTATTTGCAAATACAAAATGTATCCTCTAAGAAACTACTATGGACACAGAATTATATTAGGAGCCTCAGACTTCGCCCATTTGCACGAAACTCAGAAAGTCATGCCAAGGCAAAGCAGAAAACTTGGACCATTCCCCTCTTCAGCTAGTTAATAGGATTGTTTTTACAGAACAAAAGAACAAAGCATAAATATTTAATTCTCATGACATGCAAACTCTGTATTGTTTTGCTGTTGGTCTGGATAATGCTCCTGTCTACATTTTTATTTGCTATCCAATTAGTAGGTTAACGTAAGTACAGCTTGCCACCTCTGCGCTTGAGGAGATGGTGAAGAGAGGTATTTCTCAGTTTTAGCAAGGGCGGGAATACTCTAGCTTGAGGGAGAAGCACATATGCATTATTTTTCTCACAAAGTCAGGTTACAGAGTATAGTTCAGCAGTTCACTGGGACAAAAAAAAAACCCAACATTATTTGCAAGACTTTAAGGCAGCAATACAATCCTTCAAACTAATTTTATTCTTATGGTATTATTTAATAAATAAATAATGTGCATTAGTATTTAATTGTTTCAACCTAGATTTTAATTTTTCACCTATCAGTATGAGAAATCTCTTGGCAACTTTGAAGGCTACGTGAAAATTAAATTTTTGTTTAATTAGAAATTGGCTTTGCTGTAATAGTGGAGGCTTTAATTGAAATATTTTAATTAAGTGCTTGAAGCAACACAATGCCGGCTTTTTCCTGGAGACTAGCTTATCTAACAGTCTGGAATTTCACGTTTACTCAGCTCCCGTGCTGAACATACAGACTGCTATATAACCAATTGTAACCACTGCTTCTACCTGGCTAAAGGCACGTAAAAAGACAAACAGTGAGTGCATTCAACTGCACACCTTAGGCCATGTTAATAACTTGGGCAGTAAAAATGGGTGATTAGGACTGCTTAAAAATAATTAGAGTGAAAGAAAGATAATAGTTGTAGCATCTTGTTAAAAACGTGTTGTGATCTCCACAGATACACTTCCTGCCTTTTCGCAACCCTCCCAGGAGGAACAAGTGGCAGACAGGGCTATCAGATTGCTCTCCAATGGTGGCCAGACTACGGCAAAACATAAGCTCCAGCAGGGAATGCGCTGCTCTCTTCTTGTCCAGACAGGATATCAAAATTGAAAGTACTTGGAGGGTTCATAAATAGCAATACCAACACTATTTAGATTTCAGGAGTGTGGGGAGAGGGAAGGGTTGATTGCTTTTTAACAGACTAATTTCCACATTTGAACATTTCAGAAACAACACGATCTGTCTCCAGGGCCCTTCCTAATGGACAGGAACATGAACAAATAAAGAAATGGGATCTAGAAGTACAGAGGAAATGAAGAACAGCAGCAGCATTTCATACTTGTAAAACACTATTTATCCAAAAACTCTGAAGCTTTCTGGAAAGTGGGGTCAGGCGGGTGCTATTATACTGAAAACATGGGCAAGAATAGCAGAACAGTAATGCTGATCACCTGCAACAAATCTATCTGCAAACATCTGCATGGCTACTTTGAGAACTAAGTTATAAAACAGCTTATCTGTTATAATTGTGTTGGGTAAAAAAAAAACAAAGCCACCTAAGTTTTCAAGCACTAACAGCTATGGAAACTGCCTCTGCAATATAACAAATAGGTTAAAAACATTTCTACACCAAAAGAGTTATCTGCAGGGAAACCACACGAGAACCAGAAGAGGCAAGGAAGCAGTTACAAATGAAAGATATTGAAATATATGCCTGGGTTAACAAGATTTGTGGGGAAGAACTTTCCATGCATTGTAATAGCAGGAAGATATTGTTATTCTCTTCCGTTCTACTGAACAGTGCCCTCATTGATCAAATAACCTAAGATCAAACAACAGATAACTACAAGGTTTCACTGTATTTGACAGTAGATTAATTAAATTACACAAGAACATACTGATTCACACAACATATCTTGCCTCCAGCAGAAAACACTTAGGAAGAAAAGGGAGAAGGACAAGTACTTAGTGCAATTAGGTAAAAGAGACAGACAAAACGTCATTTTAGAGAACAAGTAATGGCTGGGTCAAGTAACTAGGTAGAGTAATACTTCAACATGTAAGGGTGGAGAACTGCAGGGTGTTGTTTGCCCTATTTCTCTCATATTCCTGTTCTTTACTGGCTAGTGCAATTCATTCTGACTGTCTGAAGAAGAAAAGCCTGCTAAATAATCTTAGACGACGAGGGAGAGAGATTAACAGAGGAAATGAGTACGTCTGGGCTTCAAAATCCACCTTCTCCAGTTTCCCCTCCTTCCATCTCAAGTGCATAACAAAGCTGTTATGAAACCACATGTTGTAGTGGTAAAAAAAACATTTTGGTTTTTTAAAATCTCTTGAGTCAAGAACATGGCCAAAATTGTGTCTGAAAGCTGAAGAGGCTTGTCAGAGTTGGCAGGGTAAAAATTTCAGGAAAATTAAGAAATTCTCAGCTGGTGGAGATCACTTTAGCTCCTTTAAGCCACATTGCTATGTTGATCCACACCAGCTGAAAATCTGACCCTTCTTTTGTGTCATGCTATTTTTAAGTAGCTAAACTTCAGCCTTAAGCACCATTGTTCAATCCTATGATGTGGTCCTGAAAGACAAGTACACTGCAAGTAAGAAAGAGCTGTCACCAACATGTCCCAGTCACTCACCAAATCCTTCACATGCCCATCAATTCTTACTAGTGCTATTACATTACCTACAGCTGTTCCCGAGTCTCTGCTGGGAGCTACAATGACACACAGCGAACCCCTCAAAAGTGGAAGCCTTTCTGCTTTTAACATCCCCTCCTGTTCAGACCGTTTATGCCACCTGCGTCTTCTATTAGTCACCCTGGTGGCCTGTAACATTATCACTCTGTGAGGGCAATACATAACCCTGGCTTTTGTGTCGCATGTTACCTGATCTCTTCTTCCATCACTTACTCTCCCCAAGAAAATTATCTGCAATATCTCTTCCCATTGAGAAATTCCCTTGGTCTCCATGATGAGAAAAAAATCTGGCAGCACCTAGATCTATTAAATCATACAAACCCAAGATAGGGAACAAAACTGGGTCTGTCAGATGGTTGATGTCATCTCTCAGACACTCACCAGGGTGACAATGGCACATTCAGCAGTCAGTTGAGCAGCACTGAACAACGTCCGAACAAAGCGGTAAATCTGTTTCTGCTCCGGGTCATGTTTGTCATAGTCTGGTGGCACTTCGGATTTCTAAGGAAGAAATAGGTGACTGAAACAAAACGAAGTCCAAATAGGTGACTGAAACAAAACGAAGCAGACAGAAAGAAAGACAGTTCACATGAAAGGGAAGAAGAGGTAGATGAACTTACCGAAAGGGGATGAAGGTTTTCATCAAAAATATCTAAGAGCATTCTTCCATCTGTGTCCCTAAAAAGTATTAAAACCAAAGTAGTGTCATTATCTGAACATGACAGCACACAGCTCTCACAGACAAGTGTATTGTTAAAACTCCAATACTCCTCATGCCGTGGGGTGCTTAGAAACACTGCAGAAATGCAATTTTCAGATAGAAGCTGGTCCTATTCTGCCATAAGGTTCACATGTAATATGAAATCCATATTACAAAGTATGCTACAATTTTCAGCTTTCAGTGCCTAAGACACATAGCTTTTGTGCTTTCTACTGTGAGGCTTTTTCACACCCTAAAATGTACTACTATAAATTTGTAATAAAATCAGCCCACTTTACTGTCCTTTTCTTAACTTCATCATGATAATCCTTGCAACCTCTTAATTCTGCCTCCTCCTTTCTTATCAACATTGTGAACATTCACAAATATGCAACACTATTTTTACAGTTATCCTTTAGTTAATGCATCCATATTTCACTTTTTATTTATTTGGAAAATGCTATCCTACTAATGATTTCTGAAAGCAAAAAGGAGTACATAAGAAAAAAAATCAGATAAAATAATATTCCTATTCATTCATTTTATTTCCTGTTTCTCTCTCCAATCCCTGTTACTAAAGATCAGCATGTAAGTTGATGCAACTTGACATGCCTAACATCTAGTATGCCATATAATATTTTTGCTGTGTGTAATCTTGGCAGGAACACTAACAATCACAAAAGCGAGTGGTATAACAGTACCAGTTAGAATGGGACACTTTCTGGACAGATGCATCCATGTGACCAACCTATTACAATCTCATCCTTATTTATGGCACCCCTGGTACTCTGATCATAAGAGTTCTTAAGAGAGAAACCACTGAATATGTTTTCTATCTTTACTCAAGAGCACATCTCTCAGAGCATGCAAACACAAGTTTTACAGTGGATTCATGTCTACAAAATGTACTTATTAGCAGCTAACATTCAAACCTCAACATCTGAAGGTGACATTTTTCCTCCTATAAAGCGTGCTAACACTGGAAATCAACACTTTTTTTTTTTAATTATTTTTTAAAGGAGTACCTAAATTAAAACAAAAACCCAGATTGAGATAATTACTAGAAAAGTCCTAATCAGTGAGGATTTTAGGCCAGACTCTTTTACTCCTACATAAAAAGGCTAATATCTTAATGCAGAAGTATTCTCACTGGAATCATTGATGTGCTACAGTAAGCTTCACAAGAGAGAAAGAAAGAATTTCCTGTTTTATTTCTTCATGCTATAGCTGCTGCATCATAGGAAGGCACATTTGATTGCCCTCAAAAAATCTACTACACCAAAAAAATAATAAAAAAAAGTTGATAGGTTTTCATCTTCATTCAACAAATTCACATTGTAGTTCCAAAATGAACCATGTATTAATTGATCTAAGCATTTTTCATGGTTAGTTTGTTGGGGTTTATTTTATTTTACTTATTTATTTAGCAAATCCACCAATACTTATGCAGTCCTCCAAAAACAAGATAGGTGTAGTTTTTTACCACCTAATGAACTGCTAAGCACAACAAAAGCTGCAGGAAGCAAATCAATATAACAATGATAGGAGACACTGGGAAAAGAAGGAATAGTAAGTAGAATGTCACAATCAAATTAAAAAAACATATGAAAAAACATATGCAGGAATGTTCATGTATAAAAAAATAACTTCACGTATAGTTTCCTCAAAAAACTGGGATTGGTTAGAATTCAGAATATTAGAAAGTACATTAGTTTTAAGCCTACTGTACAGGAGAAAAGGAACAAATAAATATTGTCTGAAAATAATTCTTCTCCAGCAAAGCAGGTGCTTGACTCATTTTCTGTCAAAATCAATCTTGAGTCTATGTAAGAGTTACAGTGGTTTCTTACTCCCCACTCTCCGCAATGAACCAAAATCTACCACATACGTCAACAACTTCCTTTTTGCCTATAATGGTAGGACACAGAACATATGTTTTGCTGTTGCTGTTTCAGCAGCAAGTACAACTGAATGCTGTTATCACGTTGTCCCTCCATTCCAAAATCAGAGACAACCAAAGACAGAACAGTCATTTCACACCCCTCATGTCAGAGCCTTTAATTGCTGTACACGAGCATATGACAGCATCACCAGTGAGACCATCTGTCCCCAGTGCAGCAGAGGGCACATTTACAACACATCTCTCCGCACCCGGCAGCTTCAGGGGGGAGAAACAGCAACCAGTTCTTCCTGAATACATCACCTCTCCATCCCAAAAGCCAAAGGACAGATAGCAAGTTTTCCAAGAAGATAACAGTCATCATGTATTTGTTTTCAAGACACTGACATGGGACTCTTATTTTGTAAGGGTTTAGCCTCTCTGTCTACTAGATATAGATGAAATTTGTATGAAGTTCTGTAAGACCACGAATGGGTATATTTTACCACAGACAGAAATCAGCTCCATGGCAATGAAGCCTGTCTGGTGTCCTTCGGCTCTGGATTCCTCCTGCTCAACTGTGAGCTCTTATGGAAGTTTCTCACCCTTTGTAGTCCCTAATGCTCCCTATTCTACTTGGCCTTTTACTCAGCTGGCATAATACTTAACAGCATGCTTAAGAATAACATATTTCCAGAGTGTTTAATACAATTGATTATCTTTGAGATCTCTATTATTTAGTCAAGCATAGTAAAAATTGACTAGTTAGGCAAACTAACCCCAGGACGATGGAGGAAAGGGGAAAAAGGGAGTCACAGATGGATAAACAAGTAATCCAAGCATGATTACCAGCGCCTCATTTCCTGGGAAATGAGATTAAAAGCTTGTGAAAATATTTCAGTACAACGTTTATTTTACGTATTGCCATGTTTCAGTCCAAGGCCCACTGACATCTTGGAAAGTCTTCTGAGAGCTTTCAGCAGGGATCAAGCCCTAAGCCTTTCTGCCCTTGTGCACTTCTAAAGGTTTCTCTTTAGATGTCAGCCTTGTTTTAAGAAGTGTGATGGATTCTAGTGACCTGAAACATGATCTTAAATGACATACCAGCTTAACTTTAAACTTATGAGTAATTCCTTTTGTTCTAGTCTGACTTCTTACAGTCCAGAAGAAAAAATGTGTAAGTGGCTTGTTAGATTGAGATCTAAGCAACAATTCTCTGAAAAGACACATTGAAAAGCCATGGACACAGAAGTCACTTAAAGTATTTATACAATCTTTCCTTCACAATGTCAGGAAATATTATTTTATGATAACTGTGACATATCATAAGGACAGGGAATTTAAGATACAAAAGCATAATTCAACATGAAGAAAGCTGATATATGTACTGTTACTTTTTAGAGAACCTATTTTCTATTCAATTTCAATCAACTTGACTGAGGAGAGATCTACAACATACTACACCAGAAGAGATAAGCCAAGACCTGCTCTGTTTCTGAGACATCTTGAATTACATCTATTCACAATGTCAGTCTGACTGTATAATTAACAGGTTTTATTTCAAAATCAATTACCTGATCATTGATTTACATAGTTAATTTTACAAAGGTGTGACCTAAAAAATTAAATCTGAAAGACACTATTCAGATTTCTCTATATGGAATCAGAACATAGGCAACAATGCAGAAGTGCCCAGTGCACATAAAACCAAACACTGAATCCCCAAAGTTTTCCAATGTTGAACTGTGCTTCCAGATTTTTATGGTACATAATCCTCCAATTTTTATTTTTCTAAGCAAAACAGTACATATAAAAAATAGAAAATAATATGTTTCTCATGTCTAACATGGCAAATAAGAAAACTACTACCCAAAAAACATTTTGCAAGAAACAGAGTATGGATTTTTAGGGTTTGGGCAGTTCATTTGTTTTGATTAAAGATACCATCAGTACAAGATTTCATTATTCACATACCTGTTTTTGATGTGGTAATATATTGCAAGAGCTACACTGTAAAGAAAAATACAGAGTTAATATCTCAGGACTATCAAATTATATTATTTGTCATATTAACATGCAAATTTAAAACCTAGCACAATACATGAAAAAGTATGATCAACAGCCTATTTGCTTCTGTTCATTGTTAGATACCAGCAAAACTTCTGGAAATAGACAATTTCATAATATTTGTTAAGCACACTCACCATATATCACACACCAAGTTGCATGTACCTTTCATTTAATGCCCTACTCCACTAAAGTCAATGCTAAAACTCCCACTGACTTCCAAGGCTGCAGATAAGGCATCAGATCAGGCATTGGACATTCTCTTTTATCATTTGCTAACACTGCCAGGCTAACATGAAATGTTTTAATCACCCTTCCAAGGTTGCAGATAAGGCATCACAGGCATTGGACATTCTCTTTTATCATTTGCTAACACTGCCAGGCTAACATGAAATGTTTTAATCACCATTGGGTTATGATTTTATATTTAAATCCATTAACTTTTGGCTGTCCTTTATGTAGTTACTCACATACCAGACTCAAATACCAGGCTCCTGGCGTTTTATGGCATCGAGTTACTTATTTTAACTCGGGAAAGACAACTCCCTGAATAACTCACTGCATTATGCACTTCCCGTGTTCTCAACCACACACCCAAGTACCACTGTTTATATTCAGTGCACGGACAAAATGCATCCTTATATTCACAGAAAACTAAGATTTAGTTATGTATACATCTAACTGATCTCATTCACATTTGAGACTGAAGAAAATTAAGACATGGCTTTTCATGGTTATTCTCCAGTTTTCAATTCACGACTCCAGCTTTATCAAAGGACACATGCTTTACACATGACAGAGTTTTATTCAAGGCTAAAGCAGAACCAGCACCCTCCTACTTGTTCCAACAGCATAAACCCAGACAAAACTAATAGGGAAGGAGGAGGGAGTTCACAGATTTTATTTGTTGACAGTTTGTTTTGTCAGTGATTCACTGTAAGATGTTTATATCTTATATTGACACAAAATACACCATCTTTTCTTTTCCATAAAAGGCCTTTTAAAAGAGCCAATTGGCCACTCTGTAATTTCATTACAGAATTTTGATATGAAAACTGACATACTGCGTGTTAGGAAAATAGTATGTTGGAGATACTCTGTTTAGCCGAATTTCAAATTATTTCAGGTTTGTTTGAGTTTGGGGGGAAGTGGAGGTAGTTGTTTGTGATTATTTCTCAGCTGAAAGGAGATATATTTTACTAACTCTGTTTGAGCACTATAGCTTTTACCTGGTTTTAGATCATAAATGCTTTGTTAATTTTTTCTATACATATAGATACCTATTTAAGGAATTAAGAGATAACTGTGTACAATGGACATTTAAAGGGCACAGTCCTCACTGAACACAAAGAACATACTTATGAATGAATTTAACTGAAAGCTAGTCACAAAATGAATTAGTCCTAAAATTTAATTTTAAATTATGACCCTAGAAACACACTTTCAGCTCCAGTTCACTTATGAAAGCAGATGCAAGAATCTCGGTGCAGAGCTCTGCTTAGTGCCCATATGGTTGCTTTTGTAAAAAAATGTCAAATTAAGTTTAGGAAAATATTTATTATTTAGGAATCTATATCAGAATCTGAAGGTCTTTCAGAGCTGTAATAGATTAACTCAGATCCAAGTTTCGTTGTGCTTTTTGTGCACTGGTTCAGCTAGCACTCAGTGTGCAGGAAAGAAGCTTACGGAGCTTTCTTTCCATCACCCTACCCTGGCCACCCCACCAGTGCTGCACCCCTCCAGCAGATGCGGTAATAATTTAAACACACTAGTGCATAACATCACCCACAAGAAATAAATGAGGTGGCCAAAATACGTCCCTAGATTTACTGATGTGCAATAGTCATTTATCTGCAGACTGCCAGGATGGGGGCAATAAATTAAGTTGTGCTAAAAAAGCAATAACCCTGTAATCTCCCCACCTTTAAATCTGTTAAATGTGCAGCCAGAGAGGACAAAAAGTCTCATTCAGAGGCCTCATGTGCCAAAGTCCAGTTTCTCACCTCACGTAACCCCTTTTCAAATCCTCTGACCCCTTGCAGCTTCCAGCCCTCCCCACGCCAGCAAGCTGGTCCCAGCCCCGCACAGCTCCCCAGCCAGCCCAGCGCTGGCTCCTCCAGCCTGACACATGCCCTCCCCTCCCTGCTGCTCTGCCCCTGCCCCACAATCCCAATCTCTCCCAAATGCCACCACCCTGCTCCCCCGCAGCTGGTCCTTCTGCCTCCCTTTCACAGGGCTGCTGCTGGCCACCCTGGCCCACCAAAACCGCTTCGTGGCTGCCGCAGCCAACTGAACCCACCTCTTCTCTCCACGAACAGTCTCTGTTCCGATGCTAAAAGAGACCCGAAACCCCGCTAAAAAGGCTGCGCTTATAAAAATGTGCATGCAAAGGCTTTTAGAGAACTAGAGTATGAGATTCCAGGAGGAAAATAAACACTTCAGAAACTAAAAACATTTTCCAGCGTTTATCTGAATTATTCTGAAGTTACTAATTAAGGAAACTTGAGGAAAAGCAAGACTTTGTTTCAGGCAGAAATAGCCGATGAGGAATTACGAATGCAGTCTGACTGCAGATCCCCTTTCCACTCCCCTCTTTTTTTTTCTCCAACAGAAAAATTAAGAACATGTTTTAGTGACCACCAACAGTACAAACTCCTTTGCATGTGTTAGTCCAAATATATTTGTCTCTCTTGTAAGTAACTTTGTAGCAGACTTTGTCTTAATAAACTTTTGCTTTTGAGTTCACCAAGGTAACCATCCTACAAAATAACTCAAGAGAGTACACCAATAACTGTAGTAAACAAACAGCATAAAATGCCCAAGCATTTGTTCTCTCACTCTTCCCCTTAAATGTACAAAATGTAAAGAACAATACACTATAAATATCCATTTCATTTGTCTACAAATGTAAAAAGGCATCAGTAAAACCTGAAATGAACATCTGGGATGTCACCCAAGGGCAAGCCCATGTGCACACCACATAAAAGTTCCCCACTGCTGCAGAATGAACCACCAGTGTCCCTGTACTCAATAAGGAAATTACTCTGGAGACAATTAATTTCCATTTCAAGCAGAAAACTGGAAAGAAAGCTTAGCAAACAAGCATTTTCTCATTATCAGAAAAGAGCTCTTCAATTTCAGGAGACTTCAGATAATTCCTAAATTCTAGATAAACAAGTATCCAAGCAAGTTTTGAGAACTCATCCAAAGCAAGTACCCAGCTGAAGGCTGAAGCACAAGGATTTCAGCTGCTAGAATGCGAGATCTTTAATTGCTGCTTTCTGGCAAGATATGAATATTGGGAGTTTTATTCTGCACAGACCTAAAATCAGTGTAATACCCTTTGCTCATCCTATTTACTACACCTCTGGAGCATGTCTGGATTTAAAAAAAAAAATTACTACTTCAAAAAACTAAGAACTGTGACGCTTGCTAAGTAACGACTCAGAACTGCACATACATATATGCATATACATAACATAGGTTCTATCAAAAAAAAAAAATTACAAAACCCACCATTTGATGGTATACTTGAGGTTTGGTTGACTGACTGTGCTGTCATCCAGGAAAATAGTGGAGCAGGAACTGTACTTCCTTCTCAACTGCCCAGGAGGATGCTATGAAAAACATGCAAAAGAACAATGGCAATTACGTAATACCAAAACAATTTTCTGAGGAGATGTAAGAATTTACAAAAAACACATTTCTCTGTCTCTCACAATGACGCACACAGTAATGCGATCGTGTTTTGAAGCAGTACGGAAAGTTCAGAAATAATTACTAGTGCAAAATTCACAACACTTCCTGCCCAAGCCTCACCTAATGCTTTAAAGTCCCAATCTCCCGTCCATCCCTTCTTTCCCAAAAAAACATGCAAGACTCTTTGTGTAAAATTACTCAAATTAAATTCATATATGTGGAAAGCAAAGATGGTCAAGATCTATGTTTCTGTCCTCATTACAAAAGAGTGAGTGGAAGAACAAAGAAGAAATAATATTAAAAATGAAGAATGATTTAGACACAGATAAAAAAATAATGCTTGGAGAAAAGAGAATTTTTTAAAAAGCAAAACAACAACAAAAAAAAAACAGAATTAAGTAGAGGAAAGAGGTTTTACAGTAAAACTACTTAAAAAGTTTAAAAATTAATAGGGAAAATCAGAAAAATTACTTCATCAAGAATAGATCCGTTATTAGGAGGAAAACTGATCAAAGGATGTAAGAGAAAGTAGATATGCAAATAAAAATAATCAACAACATATCTCTTAAGAGACAAAGTTTTCAACAGATTTCAAACCTATTTTCTGCACTACTATAGGATAACATTGGAAAGCTCAGCCACAAAACTACATTTGACAACACTGCTTATTTCTTCTGAAGATTCTTTTGTTGAGAGGGCTTCTCCTTCATCTTTTTAGAGCAGCCAGCACTTCACCAGTCTAAAGAGAACAGTTTCATCATATCAGCTAATAGCTATCACAGTCATTGATACTCTGATTTTAACCTTGCTTATTCTATCTACATGAGTGAATAACTCAACCAAGAACCTGTGTCAGGAAAGTTAAGACCAGCCAAATTACACACTTAACTTACAACAGAATAGATTTAGAATTCAGTTGGCACAGCCACATGACGATTTTAATTTGCTTTACAATGAATGCTGTTTCCAGTGTTTCAGTGGAGAGACCAATGTCAATACCATCGGTGGAATCCACAGACATTTACCAGCTCAGAGCAACTAAGTACCCAGGCTATGGTCCTGTGACTCCTACCTCAATACATCTTCCCCTGCCCGATTTCCGAAACGGATATTATTTCAGGTGCCAGCACTCCATTGTCTCACTAATGATTCACCAGAAGGTAGCAGACTTCTTAGCAGCATTCATGAGACACAGAACAGACATACCCATGGTAAAACCTCGATGCATCTGAGTTATCTTTCTGTTTTTCCAAGCTATGAGTGAAAGAGCGTTGAAAGTCTTCCATGAATTGAGGAAAATAATTTTCTGAAGCTGTTGCAATTGCAGAAGCATTATGTTAAAATGATTTCAAAGTTCATGAACAAATTATATCAAGGTCCCCCACTTGACCAATAAATTCAGAGTCTGAATTGATTTTCTTGGAAATGAAAAAGTTTACTGAAAAAATAAAAAATATTATCTCCTTTCAAAAATCCTCCATGAGTTTGGAAAGGTACTTTGTAATACTTTGGAAACTCATAATCCATCCACCTTTCAAGCTCTTTTATGTTAAGCAAGGCAGCAAACAGAAAATTCAAAAGCATTGCAAGCATTAATGCTGTAAAATGTATTATATAGCATTGATGTATACAGAGAGAAGGACTAGGGGACTGGTGATGTATAACTTTTATTCTACCACAGCTTAGTTCAAATTTCTGGATTAGACTGTTGAGTACTTTCTGCAGGCATGATAAAGGCCAAGCAACTTAAAAACAACTGAAAATAAGACTATTTAGTGGCTGAAAAAAAGGGAGAGGCACAGACATTTCAGCATCATTTTAAAAAAAAAAGGCACACGGAAAGTTTTGATTCTACATTTTAAGTGTCAACATGTTTTCAAATTTTAGATAAAATTTAAGATAAATGGACCAGATTCATTCAATGCAAGCATGAGTAAAAAACAAAAGACAACTCTGTAGCAACACCACTACGAGATGTAAATTTTCTTACATAAACAGCACTCCAGCATTCGATACATGTCAATAACTGGAGCCACATACCTTATTTCTGAAACTACCACATCACAGAACTCTCCATGGTTTTCAGCCCACATCACATGTCATTAGGCTAAGAACTTTTCACACTTCAGAAAAATATGTGGTGTCTCATGCCTCACTTTCTGTTCATAACAACTTGGCAGGAAGGGGTACCTCTCCCAGTCTGAAAAATGGTGCCAAGGGCAAACCTACTGTCTTGGGTACAGAGATACACATTTGTACCATGCGAATAACTAACCTATCAGTAGATCAACATTCCCAGCTTCTACTCTGATGCCCAACTGCAGCCAAACAGTATGCCAGGTAACAGATTTTCTGTCTTTCCCAAATTACTGGAAAAAAACCTCAGTATACTGGAAAAATACCCTTTGTATTCTAGCTTGACTAAGCTAGAAGACATCTCAAGTCCCACAGTTCAGTTAAACTGGCTTTTCTGAACCTCCATAAAATGCTGCACAGGAACCTTCTCCAACCTTGCAAAGGACAAAAGACATTGCTGAGCATCACCTTCTTATTCAGCTCTGTCCTATACATAAACCCTCTTCTGTGTCCACTTCTATGGAGTAAGTCCATCCAAAACTGCACAAGAGCTTAATGCCTTCATATTTCAAATCCTGCATGTCTGACCACAAAAATCTTCCATTTCTAAGCAAGAAAAATCAGAAGAGCTGGGAAAGAATAGAGAGCCTTCGATGAAATTAGCCAAATCCTCTAACATTAACGGGATCCCTCTCAGGTTCTATCCCACCATTAAGGCTGACACGGGGCAAAGAAAAGACTGGTGTAGTTCCTTTTGTAAATATTCCTATGAAAACACGACAGTGAGTATAGGATACACGTGGAGCCTTGACAATCTCTGCTATTAGAAATATTTACAAATTAAAAGCTCCTCATTAACATGAAGTGGGATTCCCTTTAAATGTACTTCACCTTGCAGTAGCAATATCTTTGTACCCAAGCTGAGACTCAATAGATGTCATGCTTCTCAACTTCAGAAGTACTTCTTAATCTCACAAAAAATTCCCAAAGGGCAGAACAAGGAAAACACGGTTAGTAAAGGCTACTTGGAAAACTATACTCTGATCACCCAGGGATCACTTTCAAATTGGAAGGCTGAAGTAAGGGACATTCCACAGAGGTCTGGTCTACTCACTACAAAATATTGAGCAACTTTGATAACAGAATGAAGGTATTCTTTACTATATTTGGAGCTGGCACTAACTTGTGAAGGACTGAAAAAATTATTAGAAAACAAGGTTACAATTCAGAACAATCTGGACAAATTTGAGAAGTAGTCTGCACAAAAGTATATCCCTGCAATCCATTAAGAACAGATACAAGGCTGCACACTTAGAGAAGAACCATCTGTCTATACGTAATATGGCAAGTAATTGTCAAGGCTGTCATCAAAAAGATATACAGATCACATGACAACAAATTTTCTCTTTTATAAAAAAGGAAAATATCATACAGGATTTACCAAGAGAGTTAAGACGTATACAACAGGATGAAGCACTTGTCCACTCTGCTCAGCTGGAATATTACATCCAGTTTTGGCCACAGCATTTCAAGAAAGATCAATTGATCTCAGAGTCAAGAGAAGAGAGCAGCAAGATTAATCAGAGGTTTGAAAAACTTGATTTAGAAGGAAAATTTGAAAGACTGGAAAGGTTTTCTCCAGGAACAAAGCAACAATATTGGCCTTAAGTCACGTTGAAGGGAGTTACAAAGAAGAGAATGTTGTTCTTTGTGACCACTGTTGATAGGATAAGAAAGAGCAGGCTTATACTGAACTAGGGAAAATTAAGATTGGATAAGAAAGTTTGAGAGGAGGTGATAGCAAAAAAAAATACCCACCCCAAACTAATACCTTTTTCTAATGGCAGGGATAGCTTGAGTGACTTGAGCAGTGATACAATCTCCCATCACTGAAAGTTATAAAGAAGACGCAAAACAAACATCTGCCAGGAATATCTGAGATGCTCTGAGGCAAGAAACCAGACTGAACAACCTCTTGAGATGAATTCTGGACCAATTTTCACTCATTTTGTGATTTCTTTTGGTGGAGAGGAGTTGTAGCTCTTTACTCCAGAAGCAGTTGTTATTTTTCTAATTTCAACCAGAGATGTTAATTAAGAAATGCTGGCAATATAGGTTACAATGAATAGATAATAGCTGTTTTGTGGAATTTCTTTCTTTACAAAAAAAAATGTGTAACAGAAAAAAATGTTTTACAACTTGCTAAGCTTTTACATGTGTTACAGAACAAGCTCTGAGATCAAGATTCAATTTAATGCCAGGTGTTTCTATCTCTTAAAACCAGCAGTTTTTCCTCTTGCATGGCTAGTACTAAGGAAATATCACTGCTTTATTTTTCTCCAGCTTCACCCTGAAACTTTCCAAATCACATTTGTTTTAAGATACTTGAACAATATGATTTACTTGAAGCTTACATAAAACATGTCAGAAATAGAATGGCTTAGTTTGCCATCAAAATCATACAAGCTCTCCAGAACTGCTTCTGTGTACCTGCTATGAAAGGAATCACTACAAATTCCTAACTAATTCACAATGAGAATACACAAAAGGATTATTTTTTCTCATCTTTCATTTTAGAATCACTCAGAAATTAAACCTAAATTTTCGTGGAAAGGAGAAGTATTAATATTTCTTCTGTTCCAATAGTCACTTCAGGGTGTGTTTGGGTAGAAACATCTAACGAATGGGTGCACACAGACCAAAACACACACTCAGAATTGACCAGGAGGGGCACCAGCCAGGGCTGGCCTGGACGCAATTCAGCCCCACTAAAGCACTCTACCCTGGTGCTCAGCAGGATTTGTTCATTTGGGTGCAACACTTCCCTAACGAACCTATCTAT